AAAATTTGTTCCATATTATACAGACAGATGCACAGTTAAACAGGAAGTTGACATCAAATTCAGAAATGAATCCCATCATATGGCATGCCTAAACAAAGAGTGTGTAAACTTTCATGCATCTGCAATAAGTAGTTGATGAGAAACTGCAACAAATATTTGTTATATATGGTATAGACAGACACACAGATAAACAGGAAGTTGACATCAGACTTGTACAAAAATAAATCCCACGATATGGCATGCCAAAATAAAGAATGTGCTAAAATTTCAAGCATCTGCTCTGAGTAATTGCTGAAAAAACTGCGAAAAAAATTCGTTATGTATGGTACGGACAGACGCACAGATAAAAAGGAAGTTGGCATCAAATTCATACAAAAATGAATCCCACCATATGACATGCCTCAGCAATGAGTGTGCTAAAATTTCAAGCAATAAGTAGTGCTTAGAAAACTGCGACGAAAATGTGTTATGTGTGGTATGGACAGACACATGGATAAACAGGAAGTTGACATCAGATTTGTATGAAAATGATTCCCACCAAGCCTAAACAAAGAGTATGCTAAAATTTCAAGCATCTGCAATGAGTAGTTGCTGAGAAAACTGTGACCAAAAATTTGTTATGGACAGTCAGACAGACACACACACAGCTAGACAGACAAGGGTAAAACAGTATCTTTTGGAGCAAGAATATAATAATACATTCCCAACACATGAGTCACCATACTACATGTACAACACACATAACAAATAACAAAATTACCACACATAATAAGCTACACTACTAACACACATGTCGAGTCACTACACTACTAACACACATGTCGAGTCACTACACTACTAACACACATGTCGAGTCACTACACTAATAAAATATACATTACAAAAAAAATTATTAAAACACACAATGAGCTATACCAGTAACACACATCAAATTAAAATATACTTTCCCAACACATGAGTTGCTGTACTACATATACAACAACCATAACATATAACAAAAATACCACATATAATAAGCTACACTTCAAACACACATGTCGAGTCACTACACTACTAACACACATGTCATGTCACTACACACTAACATACTTGTGGAGTCACTACAATACTAATATATACACTACAAATAACTATATTAAAACACACACAATGAGTTATACAAGTAACACACATAAAATTATACATTCCCAACACATGAGTCACCATACTACATGTACAACTCACATAACAAATAACAAAATTACCACACATAATAAGCTACACTACTAACACACATGTCGAGTCACTACACTACTAACACACATGTCGAGTCACTTTACTACTAATATATACATTACAAATAACCATTTTAAATCACTCGATGAGGCATATCAGTAACATACATAAAATTATACATTCCTAACACATGAGTCACCATACTACATATGTACACAAAATAACCACACATCATAAGCTACACTCATAACACACATGTCGAGTCACTACACTACTTACACACATGTCGAGTCACTACACTACTAATATATATTACAAAAAACAATATTTACACACATTATGAGTTATACCAGTAACACACATAAAATTATACATTAATTCCCAACACATGAGTCACCATACTATATGTACTATCATACATGTAAAACAAATAACAAAATTACCACACATAACGAGCTATACTACTAACACACATTTCAAGTCACTACACTACCATTCATATAATGTTATATATAAATGAGGTCATATAAGGAGTCAATACATTTACAATAGAGTCAACATGCTCCTAAAACACACTTATATTAGGTCGTTATAGCACTTGTCACATGTACTAGCACATGAATCACTATTATGACAAAAGAATTCTTTAGATGTACATGTAGTTGTTATTTAATCTTTGTCTAGCTGTTATGATATTTTAACAGCAAATTTTATACTCTTTCCTGCAAATTCAAAGATTGTTCTGCTTTCTGGAGGGGCATTCAAACACTTCAATTGACCATGTTTAAGTCATACTGACTTATTCCACTCCACATTGGCACTCTATGGCTGTTTTTCTTTTGTCCACACATCTTACAAATGGAACTGAAATACATAATTATATAATAGAACCATTAAAGCTTTTACATAAAAATGAAATAAAAATATATCAGTGATCAAGTTTCCAATCTTAATTAAGACACAACACTTCTTTAAAAGCAAAAGGACAAGAATAAATTTTAAAATTAAAATTCCTAAAACAGCTAGTTAACATTTTGTGTATTTGATTTGTATTAAATGATTATCCTTTAGAACTTGTTAGCCTTTTGAATTACTGTAAATGTATAATATTTAGCGTGTACGATATTTGGCAGAAGTTGATTATTGAGCAAGTTAGCGGAGATTTGATTTAAAGCATTTGTTAATGTTCTTCTTTATGTGTATTTGTGCAAGACATTTAGCGTTGTACTTGAATCAGTGGACATTGTTTTCCGACAAAGGCACTAAAAAGAATACACAGCGAAAAGTATATTCACAACTTAACAAACACTTTCTGAAATTTTGGGTTATCCTTTTCTTTTGTCCTTGCCTTTGGTTTCCTATCAAGCTTTTCAGTTTAAAGTGCCAAACTTTAATCTCATCTTGTTCTATAATTTACATATCAAAAGGTTGGAATCTTTATAGTTAGGACTATATAAGTACTCACAACAGAATACATGCATCTAGACAAATAAGGATTTTTTCAAAATGAAAACATGTATCCAAGCAAGTCACTTATAAGAATATTATAAATGAAAACATTCAACAAGCTACACAATTTAGATTCATTTAGCTTTTCCTGTATATTTATCTGTCTCTCATTAGTAACATATATTAATAAATGGAGTAAAATGAAAGACCTAATTTTAATTACACTAAAAGTCTACCAAGTAACAGTAATATGTAATAATTAGTTTTACATGTTTCATAATGTGCATAAGGAGATGGGTGAACAAGGCATGCAAAAAGCCTATAGCTTCAAATGTATAAAAGTCATATTCAAATACTGAGTTTAGTATTTAGAGTAAAGTTCTTCTTATTGAAAGGTATAACATTATATTACAAACAAAACTTTTCTGTGGAAAATTCTTTAAGCAAAAATCATTCTATGATAAAAAAAAAGAAGTGGTATTCTAGGGGTTGAAAACCAAGCAATGAAATTAAATCCTGAATATCAGTTTTTTTTCTAAGAGACTAACATGCTAACCACTAAACTACATACATGTAGCTCATGACAAAAATGGGCATTTACATATGTAAATCACGTTTAAAAATGTGGCTCTTGACTAAATGGATTTCAAATATATTTCTGAAAGATATGCAGGGTTTGACACTAAGGCACGTCCGACTGACCCAGTCTAGTAAATGCATGGTCCGTCATGTTAAATGTTCAATAACTTGCCCTACTGGTTGTGTGGATGAAATAAATGTTAACTCTCATTTCAGTCTTTCAAATAAATGCTCTGACTAAAAACTTTTTAAAGAAATTTTCTTAATTTTCAGATTGCAAACACAGCCATTGCTCTGAAAAAGAAAACTTTCCTGCATGACACAATTGCTTTTTTTTTTTAGACCGGCTGTAATAGACAAGTCACAATCGAAACCTCAGCTTTGTTCAGTATCATTTGGTATAAATATTCATTGAATATTACAGTTTTTAATTTATTTACATGTATATTTACGGTAATAATTTTATTTAAGTTCCTTGAATTAATGTTCTTTAAAGCTTATAACATTCGCATGTTCACTCATTGGGCTGCTACCTATGGGCTCAACAGTCTGTCAAAATGTATACATGAACACATGCGAGAGATACACTGTAGTATGGTTTCAAAACTTTTTTCCCATTATAATAGGAGGTTATAAATAGAAAATTTTCAAGTTTGGTCAGGGCTAGTGAATTTATGGTCAGAGCTAGTAAAAATTATGGGAAGTAGCACGACTGATCTAGTACTCATAAAAGTTAATGTCAAACCATGATATGAATGTTGTTGTGACTAGTGGTGTTCCAATCATCGATTATAATCGAAAATCAGTCAATTGCTGGCATAATCCAAGCACTCGATTACAAATTTTTTATTCTGATTAATCGGGTTATTTATTTTATTTTAAAAGCGTAATAGTTTTTAAGCCAAATATTCCAGCCGCAACTTTTCTATTAACTTATATGCATATCGTAATGGCACAGACAAAGAGACATTGTATTCATACCAAGGTAACAATGCTCATTCCTGGGTATGGACGTACTTTGGATTCTACAAAATGAGCGTAGAACCAGCTTGACTAGATAGAACATTCTGTCGTTAAAATGATATTGTCCTAAGGACTAGGGGTTGTTCCGAGACACAGTTATTCCAACTACAGCTGGACCACCACAGAAAGTAGTTATTCAACCATTCTTACCATTTAATAAACTAAAATTGACAGACTTTGTAAATGTCCGATTATAATTGATAATTAGTTAGTTACAGTAGCCTGATCATCGATTATGAAATTCTTACCAATTCCCATCACTAGTTGTGACATAAAAGTCTATTTTTAGAAGAGTTGGTCATTTCACCATGTTTTTGTCAAACGAAATAGGAAAAGTTTTAAATATGCTTCGAGTATAATCTTACCAAAATATGGAGTGAAGACCTACTCATATTTAAAAAGTATGATATAGGAGGAAAAAATGACCATTTTTGCCCTCTTTTGGTGTGTATCTGCTATTTCATAGATCAATAATATTAATCGTTATAAGATTGTAGCAAATTGCAAAGATTTTACATAAGGTATACAATAATGTTACATGAAGTATCAAAGAAAATTTTGACATGATTAAGATTTAACTTTTTACATCTTTTTTTGTCACACAATAGGCATTTACTTGCCTTGTTTGCCCATCATCTTTATCAGTAGATAAGGTTTATGATTCAGACGGCATCTGATAATGCAGCAATAAAATGTAAAATGATAGAAATAACTGCACTATGCTCACTTTTTTCCTCCAAGAGCTCTTCTTTTCATCTTCAATTTCTTCCTCTTCATTTCCTCAACTTTTTCTTCTATTGCAAGTTCTGTAAAAAAAAAAAATCCAATTCGATAAACTACTAAACTGACAAAAACTCAATTTGTCAAGTTTCGGATTTTACCAGATTCATGAAAAATCTTGGCATACTGAACCTTTTTAGTGATTTATCTGAGAAAAGAGTGGTTAGTAACTTATTCATTTTCATGTACCTGCTTGACTTCGACAGAAACGTTTTGGTACTAGAATGTGAAATACATACTTTTGTTATTACCTAAAATATTTCCATGACCTCAAATTCACCTATATTTCTTGCTGCTATTAAAGCCTGGTCAAGAAATAACGTTTCCCTTATAACAGGCATCAATTAACAAGGTTATGATTCAAAGTTTCAAAGTGTGCAGCTTGATTCACACAAAAGAAAAAAAAAAACATGACTGAACAGATTTACAAGTACTTGCAAAGACTAGAAATGTGTCTTGATCGACATTTTCAGCCTAAGGTAAAGTCAGGGCATAGTCATGTAACATGTAACATTTTTCATGATGAATTACCTATATACAGTCCAATCTCATTATCTTAAACTAGATGACACAAAGTAAAAAAAAATAAAGATGTTCCTGGGTTCCAGTAAAGAGTACTCAAATACCACTTAATCATACATGTACAATCATATAATTATGGAGATAACGAAGCTCAAGAGTCCATAGAAAAAATACAAATCAGGAGCAAACACGGACCACTAAAAACATCAGAGGTGGGATCAGGTGCAATATAGGAGTAAACATCCTCTGCCAATCATTCACATTTGATGTGTGCTCCTTGTCATGATCGGGAAAACGGAAAAGTCTGTAGACAATTCAATGTGTAAACAGACAATTCAATGTGTAAATAATGGCCAAACAATTAGTATTAAAAACATCAGTCCGCATTCGACTTACATGTAATGAAAGATTGTTTTTGCTGACAAGGTCATTGTATCGACCATAGCTAATTACACACATGCAAGTCACTACATCCAGTAAAAGTTGATGTTTTGATATTTTTTCTCAAAATATTTATGAAAGAATAAGATAAGTACATGGTAATTTTGTTGACTTGAAGAAATACATTGATGGGGAAGGGGGGGGGGTATTGTGATAATAATTACCTAGTCCTTTTTCATTCTGCCTTTTTCTTTATTTCTTTCCCTTTCTCTTCCGTTCCACCCTCTGGCTCATTATCTTCCATCACTTCATCCCTCTCAGAAATGGTTTCCAGTACAGATAAAGTGGTTGATGAATGACTTACTCAAAATTATGGACCCATGATATAGATGTTGTAATAATGTTACATGACACACACTGCAAGTCACTGTGCCCTGTAAAAATTGTTACCTTCTTCATTTATATTTAAGGATCAAGAACTAAATAAGAATTCATTCTTAAGTTTTACAAAAAAACTATATAAATCAGGATTTGAGAGGGCTTTGTAAAATTACTGTGAGATACATAATGTAATAACCTTGTCCTTTCTTCACCTTGTCCTCCTTGTTCTTCAGCTTTTTCTCCACTTCCTCATCTTCCTTCATTAAATCTTCCCTAGTAGCTGCTTCTAGTAGAAATAAATACCAATAAAATAAATTAAAAAAATCTTGACTCAAGAAACAGTAATGGTTACACATATTATAAAAAAAAGAACATTCTTAGAATATTTGTGAAGAACTAAATAAGTATTTTAGCTACAGTGTAATTAAAGTAAAAGACATTCCTATCAAATAGAAAACAAGAAGTCTGTGATCGAGCCAATGCTCACTAGTAATTATAATTCCCACACTGATTTGAATTTGGTACGGACAAGCACAGGGGTAAACAGGAAGTTGACGTCAAATTCATACAAAAATGAATCCCACCATATGGCATGCCTAAACAATTTAAAAGTGTGCTAAACTTTCAAGCATCATCCTTAACAGTTGTTGAGAAAACTGTGATGGAAATTTAGTACGGACAGATGGAGGGATGAACAGGAAGTTAACATGGGATTCCTACAAAAATACATCCTACCATATGGCATGCCTAAACAGAGAGCGTGCTAAAATATTAAGCACCTTCGATGAGTAGTTGCTGAGAAAAGTGCAACAGAAATTTGGTAAGAACATGGATACAATAAATATGACTAATTTAAATCATGTTTCTGTCATTCCATGTAAACTTTGATCCTCTTCTGTGGCCCTACCCTACCCCTAGGGTCCATGAATTGAACAAACTTGAATCTACACTACTGGTATTTCAGGAAGCTTTCAAATACATGCAAGTTTCTCAATTAATGCAAAATTGGTTATTTTCACTGGTTTAAATTTTCATGATTTGAGGGGATTTAATTTGTGGTTGAAAAAAAAAAAAAACATATGACACCATATCATAAAATTTCGATATTTGGTTTCACTACAATGTATACTAGTAGCTTAACACTGGAGGTTTTTTTTTTTATTTTGCCTACCATGAAATGAGACCTTGATTTTTAAGGTTTCATTTAAAACACATGCATCTTTCACTTATAGAGTCACAGCTTAGTAACCGAACAATCTCATTACCTATTTCAAACATCTTGGATTGACAAGGTGCTAGGAACAAGAATTGAACAGGGACCTATTAATTATAATGCGAGTACCGACAACAACTACCGTCTAGGCTACTGTGATTTGTCAGTTTCAGGAATTAAGATAAGGGATATCAATAATGAACACTTAAGTAATTATTGCAAAATATAAAGTCTAAACATTTCGGAAAGACTATGAATTTTAAATTAATTCTACTGATTTAGTTAAATTTTTTTGTTAGAGACTGATAAAGGAGACTTAAATTTTCAATTCAACTTTCCAGCATCATGTTTTATACAGTGTAAGCATGGCCTGACTAAATATATGAGTGAGATATTTTAATGTCAGGGTTCAACACTAATGTTAGTCCGTTAGTCTGATCAGACTAATACATTTTCATTTGGACTAATAAAATCTGTCGCTAGTAAGTCCCAACAGACCAATAAAAATTTCTGGAAAACAAAATGAATAAATTACGATTTTCAACAACATTTACTAGAAAACCCTGCATGTATTTTTAGCTTTCTAGCATCTTAGCAGGTAGTAAGGTAATTCTGAGTCAAGTTGGCACTTAATTTTACGACTGACTGATGTGAAATTAAACATTTTAGTGATTATGATTTAGTCCTGTACAAACAATTAAGGTGGATTCCGCCCAGAATTTCGTTGGACACCAAGGGTATTCCACCGAATCCACAAATTCCAGGCTCTCAGAGATTCCGCCTAAATTTAACAGATTCCAGTCATCAAATTTTAGGCTGAATTTAGTTCAGTGGGAAAATAGCTGGAAATTATAAAAAGAAATATTTTGGACAGTTTAAATGGAATCTATATTCAGGCGGAATCCTGTTATTTCAATTCTAGGTGGAATTTCAATTCCATGCAGGCAGAATGTCAATTTCCAGGCGGAACTAATTACATTTTCGCCTCAAATTTCCAGCTAGTCTCCGCTTGGTTAACGCTTGGTTTCTGCTTATATTGCTTTAACATTTATAGTAAGTTTTACGCCTGGAATTTTACTGAGAATTCTGTCTTGATTATGCCTTTTTCCAGGTGGAACATTTTGTACAGGGTATGATACATAAAGATGTCAAACGTTTTGAGTATAATGAACGAGATCAGGAATATGTTCATACTTCCTGCATGATCACGAGAGTTTAAACAAGAGGCCCAGAGGCCACATCGCTCACCTGAGCACTATGGCTAGGAAAAAGCAGAATTCAGTTCAGTCTTGAAAGGTTGAAAAGTTTAAATAAAAAAGTGGTTCGGGGGGGGGGGGGGGGGGGGGTCATGAATTGAACAAATTTGAATCTACATTATCTGAGGATGCTTCCATTTAAATATGACCAAACATGACTTTGCTGTTCTTGAGTAGAAGATTTTTAAAGATTTAACCTATGTATTCCTATGTAAAACTTTGATCGCCCATTGTGGCCCCACCCGACCCCCGGGGGTCATGATTTGAACAAACTTGAATCTACACTACCTGAGGATGCTTCCATGTAAATATGACCAATCATGGCTTTGCTGTTCTTGAGAAGAAGATTTTTAAAGATTTTTCCTATATTTCAATGTAAAATTTTGATCGCCAATTGTGGCCTCACCCGACCCCCAGGGGTCATGATTTGAACAAACTTGAATCTACACTACCTGAGGATGCTTCCATGTAAATATGACCAATCATGGCTTTGCTGTTCTTGAGAAGAAGATTTTTTAAAGATTTTTCCTATATATTCCTATGAAAAACTTTGATCGCCCATTGTGGCCCCACCCGACCCCCGGGGGTCATGATTTGAATAAACTTGAATCTACACTACCTGAGGATGCTTCCACATAAGTTTCATATTTTCAAGCACAGTGGTTCTTGAGAAGAAGATTTTTTAATGATGCCATTAATTTTTCACAAATTCTTAATTATCTCCCCTTGGAAGAAGGCGTGGCCCTTCATTTGAACAAACTTGAATCCCCTTTACCCAAGGATACTTTGTGCCAAGTTTGGTTGAAATTGGCCCAGTGGTTCTTGAGAAGAAGATGAAAATGTGAAAAGTTTACAACAACAACGACAATGACAACAACAACGACAGACAACGGACAAATTCTGATCAGAAAAGCTCACTTGAGCCTTTGGCTCAGGTGAGCTAAAAATCTTTGGAATAAAACACTTCATGTACTTTCAAAAAACTATAAAAAGTACATTGTAATCAGTCTTCGACAAATCCCGGGAGTCCGAAGCCCGGGACCTGGTAAAATTGGAAGGGGGCATGTGGAAATTGCATACTTACAAGCCCAAAGGGCATGTGAATTCTGAGGCCTAAGCCTCCGTATTATCAAATTAAGTAATACCAATAACATTAAATGTACTTAAAAGTCTGATTTTTCATCTGAAGTGGAGCACCAAATAAAATTTTAACGATAGTTTATTCTACCACGATTTCCAGGGAACTCTTTTGCAAAAGAAACACAAAAAGTGTACAGGTTGAAAACAATATTAATGGCTAGACAATAGATCGATAGAAATGGATTTCGGATCATTTCCTTGCCATGAAAAGGCAAATAAGAATAAAATTACTTGATAAAATTCTGGGCATGTGAATATTTGTTCGGGCTAGCGTAATAAGTGGTTAAACCTGCCCGAAGGGCATGTACTGAAAAAAAGATTTGGCAAAGACTGCATTGTAATGTTTATTTTTAGATAAATCGTTACAAAACACTGATCTTTCCTTTTTTGACGGACTCATGTGAAGTAGTAAAAGAAGGACATGTTTGTTGAAACACCCTGTATTAAAGGGATTTCAACGCTTATGTACATGATGTATTTGTTTAATCATTCATCCCACCCCAAAACAAAAAAAAGAAGCTTTTTAAAACAATTCTACTTACGCATTAGAAGTACTGCCATCTTTTTTCTCCTGGTGAAGGTTCAAAATATAATTAAATGGGTTTGTGTTCACTGGCCAATAGTTTTAAACACCATCTGCAGGAACCTTGAAGTTTTCCTGTATCACCATGAACCTAAAAAAATCGATGTTATACTTCAGTATCACAAAACATCCATCCTAAAACATTCACAGACAGACATTAAACACATACAAACGTTCCACGTTCCATTTATGTTCATTATTTGAAAATAATCATAAATTGTGAATTTGCTTCATCTTGCACTGATTTAAGTCCCAACATTGTTTAGTTAAATAAATAATACAGTTAAAAAGCATGTTTTACTGACCATGCTGACAAATAATACATTAGACAAAATTAATACATGTATCGATCATGCTATCAATAAAATATGAAAAATGTTAGTGTGCATGTTCACACACACTTGAATAAGTTGACTGACTGCTTCCAAAGAATGTACATGTCCTCATTCATGTAATCCTGTTCCATGATAATAGTTTTCATTTATACCCCTTCATAAAATGACACATGCATGTCACTTACATACTGCAAGACCCTGCCGGCCTGTACATTGAGTACACTACTTTCACTTTGAACTTGACTGAATACCGATTCCGACCTCGTTTGTGAATTTTTGTGTACATATTGAATCCTTATGTAAAAATATATTCAACTTAGCTTTGAATTAATAAACAATATAAATTGACACATTAATTGAATTTATTCGCTACATACATGTAACTGTAAACAACAGGAGGTATGAGAATTAGCTGTATGTTCATAAGGGGGGGGGGGGGGGTTACTCCCATATGAAACTGTCTGGGTGGTTTAAACACAGGCACAAATTTAGCTTCCATAAACCTGTAACAGACTAGCATTTCTCCTCCTATATATGTAAAATATGTATAGAAAGCCATGCGAAAAAGTGGTCAAGGCAAGAACAGGCATGGGATAATGACTGAAATATAACATAACACAGTTTTACAAATAAACCCTTCACAGAAAGTTGTGCTAGGTTCCCTACATGAACTCATGGATTCTGAAAAACCTGTACCAGAAACCTGTGCCATTTTCCATATCTGGAGACCCTGATTTGGGAAACCGACCATGTCAAAAAATAACCAAATATGGAGTCATGAGATCTGCATGTGCCTTAATTAATTCATCTAGATCTGGGTTAGGATCTTGGAGAATCCCCTGATGTTGCTGTAGATGCCAAATAGAGACTGAATACAAACTTTACAATGCTTTACATTATTAATTTGATTAGTTTTAGAATTTTTAAAGTTTGAAATTAATACATGTATGAGAGTGCCACATTCATTTTTATAGAACTTATCTACACTATCATTTTAACAATTTATAGTAGTTTCTTATTAAGAATCAAATGATTCAATGCACAATTCTATAGTAATTTAACTTAATTAGGCCAAATGAAAAAAATTATGTGTTTCTGGTGACATATGCTAAAAAAAATTAGGCTAGGTAAGAAGGGAATAACTTTTTTTTTTTACTTTACTGTTAATTTTGTTTACTTGATTGTTTGTTGTTTAATTCCCTTTCGAGAAATTTTCACTCATATGGAGATGCCACTACTTGTCGGTGGAGGGCTGCAAATTAATAGACCTATACTCCGCTCTCAGTGAGGGATCTTTTTCATGCCAGCACCTACTGCGACATAGGACCTCTGTTTATATGGTCTCATCCGAAGGACCGGTCTTCACGTCCCACAGTGGGATTCGAACCTGCAATCTAAGGATCAACTCCTTACTTCGCGACTCTAGAGCAAACACTCTAACCACTGCGTCACACAAGCAACACTTTTTATTTTGAAAGCATCAATTAATTATTCTGTACATTGTTTTTCTATCATATACATGTACATAAACATACATGTATATGAATAAACAAACAAACATATATATATATATATATATATATATATATATATATATATATATATATATATATATATATATATATATATAAAGTAGGAGTACTCTTTAAGACTCTTGGATAAACAGGTTTTTACAGTGTACGAGACATGCATTTTATGGACTGCACTACGAGAAAACTTTACTATGAACAAAAGTATGATTCAAAATCTCGATTTGGAATAAAAAGTAGTAGAGTCGGTGGGTAAAATTAGGTCAGCTGGGTTATGGGAAATACATGTTGTTGTTTTTTTCAGCCTAAGTTTGTTCAAATTGAATTTAATAAAATCATAACTTTCTTTATCATGTGATGACACAAAATGAAATGAGATTGTTAACTTAGGTTAAATCATCATTGATCAACAAAGACTATTTCAATGTCTGTCAGCTTGCATTGAAACATCCAAGGATAAAGATTTCAAATGGCTTCTATATTAGACTTACTTACTTAGACTTTTAGTTCAAAAGTGACAAAATCATTCAAGTTGACCTAAGTACAATTCCAAGTGATATACATGTATATTAGTTATGTATCTTTTATAAATTAAGAAAGACACAAGCTATATTAGCTCAGGATCATGAATCCTTCTAATCTGATTTGCACAAAGGAAGTTATGATCATGCTATGTAAAAAGCCGTGAGATTAAAAATACATGTATATAGTTTGAACCAAATCTGCCTCATTCAAATTTTGTAAGTTAGAAAATATCTTCTTGGGACAAGTATTCCTTGCCTACACATTGGTTTCTGTGCACAAGAACACCTTGCTTTCAACCTCAGATTCTTGGTCATATCTTGGGTCTGTGGAGCCCGTACATCTTTTCTAAATTTCATATATGGGTTCCGTGCCTTAACTGTGTCTATATACACTATGTCTATTTCACCTCAAAATTTTGGAAGGACACTATATTGCGACTCGATTTGTTTTAAAATATGCACATTAAGCAAAATAAAAGTTGTGTATTTCATAGATTTCAACAATTGGAAATGATAATATTATTAAATTACAAACTTCAACTCAGCCTGAAAGTACAATTTTTTTAACAAGTAGAATTTCTCTTAGCATGCTTACCAATAGACGTACTCAATATATATGGGGTATACAGTCCACCAATACATTTCCCATAGGCGACAATGTTAACCTTTTCTCACACTGTTTTAAATCCTTGCTTTACATTTAAGGACGGAACAACTCTCAAATAACATCTCAAGGTGGAATGTCAGATTGTTTTCCGGCCAAATGCACACATTCGCAAAAAATAAACATCTGAAAATGAAAGTAATTAAAACAATAAAAGTAGAGCATTAACATTTCCAAAATCTAGGGTGTGCACATATCAAACTATACAATTCCTTTCCTTTAAAGTCGCCCGTGTGGCGCAGTGGTTAGAGCGTCTGCTCTAGAGTCGCGGAGTAAGGAGTTGATTCTTACGTCGCGGGTTCGAATCCCACTGTGGGACGTGGAGACCGGTCCTTCGGATGAGACCGTATAAACCGAGATCCCATGTCGCAGTAGGTGCTGGCACAAAAAAGATCCCTCACTGCTCAATGGCCATAAATGCCGAGTACAGGACAAAATTTGCAGCTCTCCACCGGCAAGTGGTGGTGTCTCCATATGAGTGAAAAATTCTCGAGAGGGACGTTAAACAACATACAAACAAAACAAACCTTTCCTTTAAAAGATATAATGTCGAAATCTTTCCAATGAACAGAGCCAAGGGAAAATTGAATGCACACTTTGGTGCTAATATGGTTGATTTAATGACCATTTTAAATTTTTTTTACTTCAGTGCAATTATCCTGATTATGGTGCATGGCACAAGCCTTCAGCATATGCCAGTGAGTATGTTAATCTTTCTGTACGTCGATGCAAGTTTTTTAAGCTTTGTACATGCTGTAGTGTGGCAAAGCCTTAATTTGAAGAGGTGTGGAGCAACCTTTACATCTTTTGTGTGTGTATGTGAATTTACAAGAGTCTCACTTAGCCTATCTTCTTTTACGTGTTGGTATCACAGCTGTATCACGTATCACGCTCACAAACACCACAGTGAAAGGTTTAAAATATATGCACAACCAAACCTTTGTGAAATATCTGCACTTGACTGATATCACATGCATGACTTAATAATTTTATACGTGACTCGAATGACCTCTGATTTGTTTATCATGTAATTATTTTGAACTTGTCATTTACACCTTTATATAACGTTTCTTACTCTATACTTACCATGAGGGGTATTAACATACTAAAATAAATCACAGAATGACATCGAAGGTATAATCCAATAAGTATTTCTATGTTATTAGGTTCACAATCAAGCATCACGCCACAACAGTTACGATTAAGTAGTAATTCGTTCCGGTGATGACTCGGAATGAAATTTTACACAGAAAAAAAATGTTTATTACTTGAGTAAATTTGAGTAGAATAGGTTAATCAGACAATTTTTTTTACTAGAAATAAACATGGTAAATGGAGAGGGGGGAGGGGGGAGGCATTAACAATGTTCAAATAGATATTTCTATATATAGTCCCTGATTAGACTAAGTGTAAAATTTATGCAGTTCTTTATATATACGATGGACAATGTTTAGCAATTCATGCACCGATCCAGTCCAGTCCACTCATATTTATTATTTTTATTTTTGAGTTTTCAAATTGTAGTTTTTCTCGGGGGGGGGGGGGGATGGACAAGTTTGCGTTTTTTAAAATTTATCTATTTATTTTTTAAGTTTTGGGTAAATTTCTCAGTTGGATTTTTTTTGGGGGGGGGGGCATGGACCCCCCCCCCCCCCCGGAAGAATTCCTGGATCATCTCCTTCTGAGGAAACAACAGTGAACATGAATCACTAACTCTAATGAATAAATAAGGTAAAGTCTTGGAAACCACATTTTACAATTACCGTAATCACACCTCATCAAGTCTAGAGACTGTAATTATTTCTCTTACACGGACAGGTAAGCAACTAATGATTAAAGTTTCCAATCTGAATACATGTACAAAAACTTGCAGATTTTCATATTTTGATTAGTTTACCAGCTTTAAGGACACATACAAGAAGAACTGAGCATACTTTATTTTTGGATGAAAGAGAACTCTGGTCTTGTCTACATTAGCCGTAGTATTTTAAAAATGCATTTCCCCTTCCGATCAAAACAGTTTATCATACACGTACCTCCATTATAAAGATATCTAATCTTTCTAAATTCTTTTTATACAATACATGTGCAGGTGTTCCATTGTGACATACATCAGGGACATTGTATTAGAAAATATTTAAATGAATTTGTTCATTTGAAATTCTGTAAAATCAGTCGAGAAACATTTAAAATCGAAAAGTGTGATTCTTATATAGTGAGAACGTACTGTTAAATACTTTTGTAATCATACATATTTGAAGCAGTTTTTTTTAAATAAAGAATAAATTACAAATGAAGTGCATGTCTTGGACAAAGATAAATAAGATAAATAATTTCTAACTTCATAAAATAATTTATTTAACTTCTGAACTGAAGATGTGTTGATGGCAATATATGTGACTATAAAGGATAGAGATAATTCCAGTTCAGTTCATAACTAGAACAAAGAACCAGATACGTTTGATATATTACATGAAGTATAATTTTTTATATAAGTTGAACATAATTAATTGATACGAGTGCATGAAATAGAAACATGTCAACATTATGAATAATTCGAGAAAATTCGAACTTAGACTCGATGACGACTGCAAATTATGCTTAACAAATGGATTTGGCCATGTAGTGGATTTAAAGTTATATGGAAATATATTTAAATAATTCTTTAACCTTAAAGTTTTATTTTGTGGATTATAACTAAGGGATTTGAACATAAATTTTTCAAGGGCATATAAACAACGAAATCTAAATACTCTATGTTTATCGAGTGATTGATTAATATCTTTGTATATGGAAACGATGTGATGTTTTGTAATTAACGCTTTAATTCACGGTAAAATCAACAGAAAATTAACTTACCTGATGAGATCATTTGTTGCTTTGTAGAAAAATCGAGATCATTACATACCGGAAGTCGGCCATAGTATTAGTCTGCATTGCGCATGCGCTAGAATCAAAACCGAGTAAAGTGTGTGAGGGCCATTTTTTGATCATAAGTCGGTGTGTGAAAATACGGGTGTAAATCGTCAAATGACACCAACTTTTTTTCTCGATTTTTTGGGCATAAATAATCGAGAACTACCCATTTTTCGTAAAACGGCAACTCACTACAGTGATTACTGTAGTGACTTGGAAAACTGTAGTGAGTTGATTGATGTGTCAATAAGTACCTGAGCTGAGTTGAAGGTGTTTACAAACGCACACACACCCTCACACACACACACACACACACATATATATATATATATATATATATATATATATATATATATATATATATATATATATATATATATATATATATATATATATATATATATATTGAATTTTGAATTTTGAATTTGTTAAGGATAAAAATGTTCAACGAAAGCCCCCTCCCACTGTTTATGGACCTTATCCTACCCAATATATATAGAATATACAATTATTGCTGGTGCGATGATATAGACGCCTGAGGAGTACAATATTCACCGAGCACGAAGGGCGAGGTGAATATTGTACTTGGAATATGTCTAAATCGTCGCATTGACTGAAAAAACAGCAATAATTGTTTTATTATATGATTCAATGATTAAATGACACAAACTCTTTAAGCAATCCATGCAGTCTTACTTATTTACATTTACTGAAGTACTAGCCAAACATAATAAGAGGAACGGGGTTAAAATAAACATAACCAGTTGTATTAATCTGGAATTTTTAATTCTATTTTAAGTGCAATGTAGAGAAAATAAATGTCAGGCACGTTCATTTATACGTATATATATGATCCATTTGGAAAAAAAAGGGGGGGGGGTCATTAGGGAAAAAATTGACAACTTACCAGAAAAAATATCTATGACTAACCCACCCCCCTCCCCATTTGAAAAAAGAAGTGAGTATCCCTAATCAAAATTTTATCTGATGGGATGTTAAGTTCTTAAACAGGGGGAGGGGGCTTTTGTTGAACATTTTTATCCTTAAAAAATTCAAACTAAAAATTAACGTTTTCAAAAAAGGGTCAGAGAGAGGGAGGCCCCCTTAAACACCCCTAACCCCCCCCCCCCCACTTCCTCCGTCATCCAAGATTCTATGTACCTAAATGATGTGTTCTTATGAGTGGAAGTGAAGTGCAAATGAAATAACTTTCCAAAACTATTTGCATCAATTTGAAATTTCCCAATCTATTTTTTAATCTAATGTGGAGAAAATAAATCCTTATTGTGTTTTTTCCTACAATGTTGGATCTCAGCCAACAATCAGAGAGATAGGAAATATTCAATCATATATATATATATATATATATATATATATATATATATATATATATATATATATATATATATATATATATATATATATATATATATATATATATACTGTGTGAGAGAGGTGTGTCGCAGGTTAACAAAGAGCAAGAATTAATTTGATATATTAATTACTTTGTAAATTAAAGTAATCAGAACTGCTTTTTAACAATTTATAACAGTGTCAACGGCAGAGGAAACAGGCTATACAAACACCATCGATAAGGGTGTCGAATTTGTCAATGGAGACGACAAAGAAATGTTCCCTAAAGGGCATTGCGTGTCCCTGGAAGGTGACGGAGTCCAAGAGGAAGACAGCTCAACGGCTTGAAAAACTTGTACACTCTTAACAAGTTCAAGAGCCAAATCTATTTACTCTAGAAATTGGATTTTAACGTCACATTACACATGCAAAAGATGTATTATGTGATGCATCAAGTAGATAAAGCTAACAAAAAGATAAAAACTGCTTTTGGTTCAGTGGTTGAAAGTGATGGAAGAGCACAATTATAATCCTTATTCTAACAGTTCTTAGTATTTATAATATTCGATATCTTTAGATTCAATTCTCTACCTCTTATTTTCTATTCTTAGTCATCAGAAGATTTTTTTTATTCATTATCTAACTTATGTATTCATTTCTATATAATTTTTTTTCCATAGACTTTATATTTTCTATAGCATCTGAATCAATGATTCATGAATCGGTGCTTTACTAACGTTTTAAGACATTGCCAAAGACACTGAAAATGTTCACATAATTTGGTTTATAAATACATGAAGATTTATTTTGTAAAAGTTCTTTATACATTTATGAATATTCTTGATATATACATATCTATATTAATGTTTTTAATTCAGAACTTCAAAGGTCGTCCCAGACCATTTGGAGAGAGAAAAAGAAAGAGATAATATTATCAAATAATAAAAAGATATTAGAAATCTGTGAGTTATTAGAAAGGTTAAGCGTTTCACCGTGTGCGTCGAAGTGTACCTGTAAACCTAGAAGTGTTTACAAGTACGCGTATCTAACATCGTAACTAACATTCTTGTGGAAGAATACTCAGATACTTGGTGAACTGTGACACTGTTTTACAAAGAATTTACTTTCATGCATGCAATTTTAAGTCGCCCGAGTCACTCCTATTGCTATAATCTGTTTTCGTCCGTCGTCGTGCGACGTGTATTGTGAAGTAGTTTGTAAACTTTTGAACATTTTCATCTTCTCTTGAACTACAGAATCAATTTCAATCAATTTTGGCAAGTAGCATTAATGGATGAAGGGATACAATAATTTTGAATTTCATGGTCCCTGTACCCCTGGGACATGAGGAGTGGGCCTAAAACAAACAAAATTACTGCTATTTTAAAAAAAAAAATCTTTTTTACTCCTAGGCATTAAGCAGCTAGTCAAACGTTGGCATAATAGTTATAAGCATTTGAAATTCATGGCCGCACATCCAGGGGTTCTGGATGTTCTGGAGTTAGGACAGGGCTCAAATGGTCATATAGTGAAAATGCTTAAAAGTCTTCTTCTCTCACCGTGTATATTGAGCAGATAAACTAGATGATGCATGGTTATGATAAGCAAAGATGCCTCTCCCAGAATTGTGAAATTTATGGCATCATGGTTGGGGTTCTGGTGGGGGAGGGGGCTCTATAGATTAATATATAGTAAAAGTGCATTATTTTTTTAAAATATCTTCTTCTCTGCTGCTGGGTATTAAGCAAACAAACTAAGAGCATACCGGTTGGTATGATGAGCAAGAGTGCCTCAAAATTGTGAATTTCATGACCCCATCAGGGATTCTAGAGAGGATGGGAGTGTCTTTTGATTATATAGCGAAAATGCATTAATTCCTTGAAAATCTTTTCCCCCCTCTGCTCCAGGGAATTAAGCTGATAAACTATGTGCATGGTTATGATGAGCAAGGGTGTCTTTTCCAAACTTGTGGATTTCCTCGGTTTTTAGGGTCATGGGCTCTGGTGTTAGGGTGGGGCTATAGTGATTTTATATATAGTAAAAATGCATTGTTTCTTTGAAAATCTTCTCTGATCCTGGGCATCTAGGAGACAAGCAGAGTATAATGTTGTAATAAGAAAGGGTATTTTTACCAGAATTTTGAAAATCTGGATCATCTGGTGCTGGGCAGGGCTCTATTAATTTTAATTCTACTCAGAGAAGTTATTATTCGTTTTATACTTCTTTCTGGATCCAATTACACTGCTGCAAATTGCACTACTGTATTACTGTATCACTACTGTATTACTTTTCGCTATATACCGTACTCTTACCAAAACTGCACAACTTTGAATAGTCGATCTTAATTAAAAACAATTTTCAAGAGGTTTCCTTTTCAGGTCTTGTAAAGCAAATCTTTTTAAACTGTTTAGTACCTAAAAACACATTGCCATTTGGCAAGGCACACATTTTGTTTCGGTCGAAGTGGAGGCTGGGGCTTGGAAATAAGTGAAGGGTCTAACCCCAGCCCCCCATCCCCCCTCCAATATAGTATATAAAAGATCAGTATGCCCTACATGTTAGTAAATCTGGTAAACACAAAAAGTTTACATATAGTTTTTTTTATCTCATAAATAATCAGATTGGGAGGGTAGATTCAGGATTATTTGCGTAAGCCATGTTTTGATGTGAACTTCGACCGAAATATACTGTTAGGACACCTGCGTTATACTCAGGTGACCGTTAAGGCCCTTGGGCCTCTTTTTTACAATTAAATGAATCTAAATTTTAGACTATGTACCGTTTTAAAGGAGAAATGTCAATCTTAGATAGCATGTGACTGTCTTATCTCCTTTCCTGTCACATTTGTTGCTGTACGTGTACCTTTGAATTGAAAAGTTAGTTGTGTTATATTTGATGCCCAGTATCTATTAGCTGAGAGTACTAGTACAGTGATTTCTGCTTTATTGACCGCAGATATCGGGTTTGATAGCTTAGAGCACCTTCCTAGTAATACAGGGGTCCTGAATTCGATTCCTGGTCCAACCATAAATTATCTTTTATCCAGTTATTTTTTGATGCAAGTGATCACCACTGGAGTTAAGGGGTGAAAGTCTTCATAGGGGCTAGAGAATCTGGGTTTTGCGTCTTCGATGTCTAAGATAATTTGAAGAGGGGAGGAATGTAGTAGTCTGGGCTATATTGCACTAAATAGCTCAATGGTTTGAGTATCTGACTAGTATGCATAGTTTATGTAAGCAGATAATTTCATTGACCTTTGGTTCCAGGGTATTCAATTTGTTGAACATTATTTTTTGTAATTAATTGTCAGGAGAGGACATAGGAATTGTGTGTTCGATCCTTCTGTTTTAACATCTAAGCGATAAAATATGTTCAAACCAAACCTGATTAGTGATGCAGTGGTGCTGTATTCAATTTCCGGTCATGCCTTAAATTTTATTCACACCTTTTGCATTTGGTGTCGGTGTCAGAGTAAGCTAGAAATAACAGTAAGAGACCTTGTGTTAGAAGAAACACTGCCCAGTTTTGTTACAGATGTCATTTAACATGACTGGTTGAGACCCATCTCCATCTTCTAAACATAACTTTCCTATTTGCCAGTTATAGGCTTCTGGTGTTTCTAAATTAGAAAGTTATGGATCAGACAAGAATTTCACATGTCAGATCCCTGTTTCGACCTGTCCAAATGAATCAGTACTAAGGTTTTGACACATCTTCTGGGAAACTGCGATTCTCCTCATATTGTGAATGTGTTACAGAAGGATCCCAGTCTGATTTTTCTAATGATTGTTACCACTTTTACTTTGATTTTAACACTTTTCATATGCTATAGAAAAATATGCTTGGCTATTACAAAGACAGGATTTTATCAAGGTTTATCATGTATTGATCCAAGATTCATAGGTCAAGAAGTCTTGTTAATTAAGTTCTTGTTTTGATTGAGTCATCACACTCTTTAAAACGACGATTCCGTCATTTTAAAAAGTGTTATGAGTCATCATCTATAATATTTTTACATCCCCCTTAAAAAGGTTTATTGCTTTGCACCTGTCGGTCGGTCGTTACGTAGGGAGCCCAAGGGTTGTCCGCTCAGTATATTGAGAATCCTTTGCTTAATAGACATAAAACTTGGTATACTGGTACCATCTGATGAATTGATTTTGGGGTCAAAAGATCAAGGGTCAAAAATACCCTAACTAAAGGAAAATGTCCACTCAATATCTTGAGAACCATTTACTTGACAGACATGAAACTTGATGCACTGGTTTCCCCTGAGGAGTAGCTGACCACTGTAGATTTTGAGGTCAAAAGGTCAAAGTTCAAATACTCTGGATATACTACACATGTAGAAAACCATTGTCCATTCAATATCTTGAGAACCATTTGCTTGACAGACATTAAACTTGGTACATTGGTTCTCCTTAAGGAATAGATTACCCCTATTAATTTTGAAGTCATAAGATCAAATGTCAATTGGACAGAGGAATATATTGACCATTCAATATCTTGAGAACCATTTGCATGACAGTCATTAAACTTCGTACACTGGTTTTTCCTTACAATGTAGATGCACCCTATGGCTAAACAAGAGGCCCATGGGCCACAACGCTCACCCGAGTAACTTTGGCCTTGCTATTTTTCACCTGATCCACCCTTGTAGTACTTATTGTGACCCCGCCCTACCCCCCGGGGTCATGATTTGAACAATTAGAATCTACACTATCCCAGGATGCTTCCACATAAGTTTTAGCTTTTCTGGCCCAGTGGTTCTTGAGAAGAAGATTTTTAAATATTTTTTCTGCATATTTCAATGTAAAACTTGGATTCCCTATTGTGGTCCTGCCCTACCCCCCGGGTCATGATTTGAATAATTTAGAATCTACACTACCCCAGGATGCTTCCACATAAGTTTCAGCCTTTCTGTCCCAGTGGCTTGAAAGGAAGATTTTTAAAGATTTTTACTACATATTTCAATGTAAAACTTGGATTCCATATTGTGGCCCTGCCCTACCCCCGGAGGTCATGATTTGAATAATTTAGAATTCACACTATCCCAGGATGCTTCAACATAAGTTTCAGCCTTTCTGGCCCAGTGTTTCTTAAAAGGAAGATTTTTAAAGATTTTTACTACATATTTCAATGTAAAACTTGGATTCCCTATTGTGGCCCCGTCCTATATGCGGGGGTCATGATTTGAACAATTTAGAATCTACACAACCCCATGATGCGTCCACATTAATTTCAGCTTTTCTGGCCAAGTGGTTCTTGAGAAGATGATTTTTAAAGATTTTTACTAAATATTTCAATGTAAAACTTGGATTCCCTATTGTGTCCCCGCCCTATCCCCAGGGGCCATGATTTGAACAATTTAGAGTGTACACTACCCCAGAATGCTTCCACATAAGTTTCAGCCTTTCTGGCCCAGTGGTTCTTGAGAAGAAGATTTTTACTACATATTTC